GACCGGGCTCCGAGCGGCGGGGGCATGGAGACGCCCCCTTTCTTAGGCTCCGAGGGAGGTATCGGGGGTCTGTTGTGTCAGCGTTCTGTATATTTGGCACAAACACATGCGTGCTGTTGTGTGCATAATGTATTTCCAATTTTCTTTTCCAAGAGTGGATTGACGCTAACCGTGGAGATAACTAATGCCTTGCCTGGCATTCGCCCTGCAGGGAAGTTAGCAAGGAACGGAGTCTGGGAGGCAGATGTGGACAGAAGAGGACCTTTTTAGGTGGGCGATCAAGAACAGAACCCCCGTGCTGGGGTCCCAGCAACAGGCTCTCCATTTATTTTTTTTATCCTCACCCGAGGACATCTTTTTCCATTTTTTGTTCAGATAGAGTGGGAGAGAGAGAGAGAGAAACATCGACGTGAAAGGGACACATCAAGTGGTTGCCACCCACACGACCCAACCAGGGCCGGGGACAAACTGCAACCGAGGTACATGCCCTTAGGGGAAACCAAACCCGGGTCTCTCTGGACCGCAGGCCGACACTCTAACCACTGAGCCACACCGGCCAGGACGACTCTCCATTTAAAAGACCCCACACCTTACACACCTGAGACCATGCCAGCCTGGCTGTGTGTAGCTTGCATCCCTAATCTGAGTTCATTTGTGGATAACACACTCTACCAAGTATTATTTTTTTTGGGTTGTTTAAATCCAATATTTTTCCTCCCGAAAGCTGCTCAATTTCTATATTAGAGACGCATATGTCTTTCGCGCAGAAGCCAGCCGAGTCTTGGACATTTTGGAGTGTAAGTAATTATGCTGTGATGGTATTTTCGTCTCTGCAAATCTCTGAAATGTTAATATGTATTATGACATTTTTGTCATTACAGTGGGGGAGGAACCATTCCTGGATGAAAGCGGGAAAGTCTGCATCCCCAGACGGCTGGGTTTCGGTTGTGAGGAGTCTGCTTCCCACCCACAGATTTCTCTAATGAGCCGGCGACAGCCCCGGATGGGCCGCGTGCGAGGATCCCGGCCGGGGGACTTTCCTGTCTCACTGTGTTGCTTGGTGGCTAAGTTACTGAGTGGGAAAAAAATAGGCACTTCCCAGCTGTTGTGTGGCAGGACAAAATGTTAAATTTAAACCATTCAATAGTTCTGGAAGCAAAGGACAGGTGGTGAATGGCTTCCCAGGCAGACGGCACTTCTTAATCGCCGTACTGGATGGAAATTTGCTCTGCTAGTGGCCGCCGCCACCTCTCACACGCTAGCTTTTTCTCTTGAATGCTTCCGGCACGGTGGCAAAGGTCTAAAAATAACCACCGTCATTCTTCAAACAAGAGTCGCCTCATTTATGTCATCAGACGGGACAGGCGCTGGTGGGCAGCTGCATCGTGGCCCTGCAGGGGGCGCCCACCTCACTCCTGGGCCACAGTGTTGCCGGGGTCGAGACACAGGTCGGGGGACTGTCCCAGAGATGGAGAGCGGTTGTGCTCTGTGACAAACCCTTCGCGGGTCTTTCTTTCTCCCCTCGATAAACTTCACGTTCCCCTGACAAACTAAGAAATATGCAGGGTGCCAGAGGTGTTGTACCCCGAAAGTGTCTGTGCTCAGGCCTGCAGTTCTGAGGTTTGGGGATCGGTAGAAGACGAGGACAAGTTTGGCTGACACCTGCTTGAGGAGAAGGCAGAGGAGGCACCTGCTGCCACATGGCCCATCAGCCGGCTCCCCCGGTCACAGCCCACATCTGCGGGTGACCCCGCTGCACCCACTCCCTACCTCTCCTCTGGTTCAGGAGCAGACCAGTGGGAAGGGGCATTAGAAATGTCATGAATAAGTCCAGTAGGTGACGCAGCCGCTGATGTGCAGGGTGAGTGGTCAGAGGCTGAGTCAGGGCATCGAGCCGCGTGAGCACCCCGGAGCCGGGGGCAGGCTGGACCGGGGGGGCAGGCACCGCCCGCCAGCAGGTGACTCGCAGCTGGGGAGGGGACAGGTGTGAGCAGGTTGAGGTGAGCCTGAGGCCAGCGGGTACCCGGAATGCACGGGTCCTTTAGAAGAACAGCACAAGGACTAACATGGCTGCAGGTTCCGGCAACTCGGACAGCGCAAACCCCGCTCATGACAGACCTTGAACGGGTCACGGGTTTTTCCAACACGCATCCTCTTTGAAACTCAAGATCGTGTATCTACCTGTACTATAACGTGGCCGACCTTTCCAGCACCAAGCCTACTTCTCTCAAAGCCCTTCAGTCCTGGGTCACCGACTCCCAGGTGCGGGCAGACTGCTCGTGCACCGGTACGGGTCCCACAGTTGAAGTGGGTCCGGGAATATACCCTGGATTGGCTCCACAGAGGCACTACTAACATTTTGGGTCAGATAACTCCTTCCCACGGGGCTGTCCTGGGTGTTGTAGGAAGTGTGGCAGAATCCCTGGTCTCTGCCCACTAGAACTAGATCCCAGTAGCAACCCCCCCCCCAAAAAAGTCTCTACCCATTGCTAAATACGCCCCAGGGACAAAACTGCCCCCGGCTGAGAACCATAAAGCTGAACCACATGAGACTTCCAAGGTTATCCAGTTCATTTAACAAAATGAAATTATCTTCGAAGTACAAACAGGATTATTCATCTGTAGATACATTAAAGTTCGTACACTTTATAAAATCAATTTGCACATGGAGCAGAGTCCGCAGAGAGCTTCATTTGCTTGGTCTATGAACTCTGTTGTACTAACAATGCCACCCTAGCTCCTCCCCGCCCCCACCGGCCCCCACACCTGTGCACCCACGTTAAAGGATTTCCCAGCAGGCTGCCCGAACCCCCACTGAGAATGTTCATCAGAAGAGTCAAATCTTCCATCTCACCGACCTCATGTACGGGGTCAGTGAACGCGTTTGAAGCAGCCCTGACCACTGGCCGGCACCCCTCGGTCTCCTTCGAGCCCTGGTTTTCAGAAAGTTCTCAAGGCGAGTTCTGTAAAGGTTTGCGCCATGAACCTGGCGGGTCAGGCTCACTCAAACACCTGAGGTCAAGAGGAGAGAGGCAGGAAAGCACTACTCCAGAGGCCGCATGCCTGAGGACCCCTCACTGGGGACCCCTCACTGGGGTACCGGGGTATAATGCCCCTGCTGCTGGGGATGAGCCGCAGAGTTCAAACGCCACCCACTGGGCTGGGGTTATTGGTCCAGACTCGGCCTCCGGCCTGTATTTCAGCTTCGATCCCATGCCTCTCCAGGAAAGCGAGGTTTGGGGGGAAGTAGACCAAGGCCAATAATATAAAGGCAATTTTAGAAGCTGCTTTCTGAGTCCACCCCTCCATCGTTTTGACAGCGGTCGGGACAGTTATCTACAAGACAGATAATGTCAACAACGCCTGTCTTTTTTCCTACCTGAATGCACATCATGCAAGTTTGATTACAGGACCTTATAAATCGCAAACATGGAAAGATGCCTAATTAGGGTGTCACTTTATAAACCCCTGAGAGGCACGGGGAGTGCAGCCGCCCCTGGGCTCCATGGTGCCTGGTTCTTTCTAAGATTAACTTTCTTGAAAACCAGTAAGTCATCCTTAATAAACGCCAGTGGATTGATGGGTCTAAACCAGAACCTTGACACCGCTGTACATTATGTTCCACACAAGAGATGATCTCTGTGGTTTATTCTTTTCCCCATCACACCCTAAATGCGTGTTCCCTGACATACCAACACAGGGATGAGATTTTGTTCTTGAGAATACAGTGTCCCACAGACCAGCTAATCCATCACCTCAGTGGAGAACTATGGAAGCCAGAGGCCCTGTGTAAGAAGACCATGTTACCATGTTGGTGTTACCAGAAGCAAGGTGACCAAACCAGAAACACCCCACACTGGAAACAACTGGGTTATTTCTCTTTCCACCAGGAACTCATATATATATATATATAACAATCTAGTGATGTTTCCTATAAATCAAGCAATTAAGGATACTAATACTAGAACTAGAATTCTAGCATTCACTCCAGTGTAGAAGTGATATTAGAATTCTGCAAAATTCCTCAAGTCTTTTGTATCACATAAAAAGCTAAAACTAAAGAGTATTAGCTTGAGTACTTAGGAAATGTTCTTCCAAATTAACGTGGCTTCTGCTACCTGTAAGGGAGAGACCTCAATGTACGTTCACAAGAATGGTTGGACCCATGACATGCTGGCTACAGTCCACAGACACCCATGTACAGCTGTGAACACGTGTAGACAAAGGAGCCACCACTAATCCAGGACCCGGGTCTCTGTGCTCCATCCCCCCTCCTCCCTCCTGAGCCCCAGCAGCCACCCAGCACCACTCAGGACACCAGGATGTCCGCCAGCCCTGAGCCACCCTGAGGACTTCTCAGAAGACCACACCCAGGGCTCTAGGACTCTAATAGCTTCGTGGTCATCCATGCCCATCATACATGATCACAGGCTTCAGTGGGCTTCCACAGAGGACTCGCTCTGGTGGGAGGGACCCCACTCATTGGGTTCAGAACAGGCCCAGCTGGCAAGCCCAGGAGGGTCTCACCAGGTGATGGCTGAGAGCTCCATGCAAGACCCCAAATGTACTTCTTCCCGTTGTGTTGACTGAGACACGTAACCACTCCTAACACACCACCTTTGCTTCCGTCTGTGCTCCATGCACGACAATCATGAACTTCGCAGTGTCGTGCCCTGTCTCCTACGTGTCCCCCACCCCTAACCGGTTAGTAAGGGAAGTGTCACTTCTCAAACAGAAACTGGAACCTTTGCTTTATGGCAGAAAATGCCCGGATTGACAACAAAACCTTGTTGAATGGACTGGAGCCCACTTGTGTGGACTGATGAGCAAACCTGCATAGCCTCCTGCCCTCTCCAACCCCCCCCCCCCCCGCCGGCTGCCCGCCCCGCGGCTCATGGACACAGGAAGCCAGCACCTGTGGGCTGGCTGGTCCTGGCCTGTCCCCCACACTGTGGGTTCTGGAGCCAGCTCAAGGCTTTGAGAGCCGTGCTCTTGCTTACCAGAGAAGGGGACAGTCCGCAGGGGTATTTTGATGGGTGCCAACGTCAGGAAGTGGCAGGGCTGCTCACTGGAGGGGGACGGGCCCCCAAGTCCCTCAGGGTCCACGGAGACCATGGCTGTGGCGGCGGCGGCAGCGATGGCGATGGCGGGGCTGCTGCCGAGGGGCTTAAGGCTGTCGTGGCAACCACCTGCAGAAGAGGGACAGGGAGGTCAGCGTGGGGACACCCAGAGGTCACAGGCGACAGAGGTCGTTTCATTATGCCACACACAAGCACAGGAACCGAGAGTGGTGCTAATCCCCTTCCTTGGAAGCACATCCTGGGGCCACTATGCCAGCAATAAGTGGGGTGAGTTCTCAACATGTGGGGTGCACAGAGCACACCTCTGTGTGATGGGCAGTGCGTCACAGCACTGACAGTCACCGGCTCTTCAAGGAGAGGGAACTGGGCTCAGGCACGTGCGTTCCGTGCAGAATCACAGTGGTCGTGAGAAGTGTGCAGTTGCTGGGAGCAAGCGCTGACGGAGCCAAGGGACAAGCACACAGCGCGGGAGGGACTGGGAGCGGGGAGCTGTGCTCCGGGCGGCAAGGGCCCTGCGGCGGAGCTGCCACCTGGCTGGCCGTGCCGTGGGGACCCCCAACGCCTCTCGGCTGGGTAGTTCCTTGAGAGGGGTCGGGCTCCAAACCCAGATTCCAGCTTGGATTTGGGGGCTTTATTAGAAGAATGTGAAAGTCTGTTTTCCTCTCTGCTTTTGCTGTAAAATTTTAAAGAAAAAAAATGGAATCCTGACAGTCCTGAAATAATTGTGGTTTCTAAGAAACATTTTGTAGGTACCAGCTTATACTGAGGTGGAAATCTTGTTTGCTCAGCTCTGGAAAGCAATTTGGAAATGTTTTTTTTCTTTTCATCTGAATACAGTTCACAACTCTTAATCTGGCATTTCCCTTCCTGCACTCAGCCGCTTATCCAAGCCTTAAGATGGAGGTTTACAGCAAGAAACGAGAATGTGAGCGCAGGGCACACGTTTGCGTGAAGGATGGTGCGTCCACTCCGTGCGACTTCAGCAGCCAGTGCGGTCATATCGGGGAGGGACGCTCTGCACAGGGACACTCACGAAGCGTTCAGTGAGCAGAGCAGATGACAAAATCATCGCTGTCCACATGGTGTGGTCCTTGCGGCAACAGTGCTTCATTGGGTGGGCGGGATGCCGAGCTCATCAGCTCCTTGGTGGGGAACCACGGGGTCTGCGTCTCCGTGTTGGGTCACCTTATGTGAAGGTTGATGGCACCATGGGGAAAATTAAAACGGGGGAAGAAAACTGCGAATTGGTAGGTGGGGTTCAGCTCTCACTGGGGTGACCAGGAAGCCTTATCACGCGATGTTACAAAGTGCATACTTCTTCTCATCAACTGGCCTCCCCAGGTCCAACTATGAATCAGAGCCCAGGGTCCCCGGCAAGGCACTGGCCACACTGACGCCACGTTCACCCAACCAGCCCCATCGCGCTGGGTGCGGTCTATTATAAATAATCATGACATACAAACTGTGTGCAAAGAAGTTCCTTTCCACATGCACTGCCCTAGGAGAGATGTCCAGGCGAACAGCGCGAGCATTTGGGGTGTGGTGCATCAAAGTCAACCCACGGAAAGCCCCAAACGCCTGCTTACATGTGGCCTCTCTCCCTCGGGACCTCCTCGCGTGTGCTATTTCTCTGCAGGTGTTTTAATGGGGATTCACCCATTTGCCTGCCCTGCTCAGGGACAGGTCCGCTGGTGCAACCCAGTGGCCAGCGCCGAACTCGGGACTGCTGCCCAGGGAATCTGTTTAATGAACTTCACTTACTGTTCAAAATGAAGGTTGGCCGATGAAGGATGAACTAACGGTTTTTAAAAGAAGCGATGCTAAGACAAAAGCTGTCTTGTAAATGGAAGTGTGGGGCCATTTTTATCCTCATGTAATGATTTTGTTGTCAAAGTGATGTATCAGCTGAAAAGGAAAATACGGAAGTAAACGTATCTACCTGTTTAAAAGAAAACGCGGAGAGATCGTTTTTAACTTGTTTTGAATTCATTTGGTTACGAATATAAATAAGTTCCCAAATCGACGGGATGCTATCAGTGGAGGCAGAAAGTCAATAACCAATATCGACGAAATTATCTTCAGAATTGGGGGATGAGCTGGACGGAGGCCCCAGGCCTCGGCAAGGAGCGTGGAGTGCAGACGTGAGAACCAGGTACCTGGTGTGGGAGCAGAGCCTGCTCCGCCCACCAGCACACGGAGAGCACACGAGCTGACACGCATGCCCCTTGTCAGGGAGCAGAACGCACAGGGGAGGCGGGTGATGAAGAACTTTCACTGCTGGGTGCTCAAGAATGAAATAGGGGTCCAGTGTTTTCCTGACCGTTCTCTTCCCTGCCCCCTGACCCCATGGCCGGGCATCTACCAAGCACCTCGGCACGCCTGTCTGCACATGCTTGGGACCGAAAGACGATGCCACAGGAAGTGCCAATGCAAACAGATAAACCCCGCGGGTGTGAGCTGCCCACAGAGCCAGCCAGGAGATACATGGAGCCAAGGGGCACCCTGGGAAGCCAGCCGCTCCCCAAGAGGGTCTCCGAGCTGACTCTTGGCAGAGGAGCGAGCAGTCAATAAATTGTGCCGACTAACAAATAATTAGCATAATTCGATTTCCCCAAAGGACTGCAGAGAATCCCTGAGTTGGGTAAATCACGGTGAGATAAGATAGGTCCAGCAAACAAACAAACAAACACCCCTGCTAAGCCAGCTGAGATAAGCCAGAGATGCTATCCCATAAGGATTACTTATAAAAATCAATGTTTTAAGCAAAACAGTAATTAACCACGCGCTTCCCTTGAAGGCGACCTGAGCAGGTGAGCTGGCTGTCAGCTCCGAGGCCCTCGCTCCACTCGGGTCTGCCGCTGCCCTTTGTCACCATTTCCACCGTCTGCCTCCTCCGACCGCCGAACTGGCAAAGCCCTGTGCCTGTGCGTTTTGTCCTGAGCAATCTCCTGATGGCCATGTGTCTGCTGCCACCACAGACGAGGAATTCAGGGAGGTTTAAGGAACTTCAGGAAGGCCCGAGGACAGTGACGGCTCCAGAACTCTGGCTCTGACCCCATCCCCTCTGCAGAATGACCCCTCCCGGCTGAGACACCTGGGCCACCCAAGCCGCTAGAGGACCCCTCCCCCCAGGCACCCACCTGGAGCCTCTGCCGACGGCTGGCACGCTCACTTATTTAAACTTCCACTGGCCTCAGCGACACGGAGGGGCAGGCGGGCTCTGTCATCCTCTGTGCCCACGGGCACCCTGACATTGACACCGCCTAGGACCCAGAGAACAGCCAGTGTGCTTCTCCCAGGATCCGGCAGAGAAGAAGAGAGATAAGCCACGGCCTTGGGAACTGGGCCAGTGGGACAGTCAGGGGCTCCAGCCTCATCCAGCATCAGGCTGAGCACACTCATCAGGCACAGTGCGAGGTCAAGGGGTGTCCACTCAGGGTCCCCACTCAGGGTCCTCTCTCAGGATATCCAGTCAGGGTACCCCCACAGGGTGTCCACTCAGAGTGCTAGCTCAGGGGACCCTTCTCAGGATGTCCACTTAGGGTGCTAGCTCAGGGGTCCCCTCTCAGGATGTCCACTCAGGGTGCTAACTCAAGGGACCCCTCTCAGGATGTTCACTTAGGGTGCTAGCTCAGGGGACCCCTCTCAGGATGTCCACTTAGGGTGCTAGCTCAGGGGACCCCTCTCAGGATGTCCACTTAGGGTGCTAGCTCAGGGGACCCCTCTCAGGATGTCCACTTAGGGTGCTAGCTCAGGGGTCCCCTCTCAGGATGTCCACTCAGGGTGCTATCTCAGGGGACCCCTCTCAGGATGTCCACTCAGGGTGCTAGCTCAGGGGACCCCTCTCAGGATGTCCACTCAGGGTGCTAGCTCAGGGGATCCCTCTCAGGATGTCCACTTAGGGTGCTAGCTCAGGGGACCCCTCTCAGGATGTCCACTCAGGGTGCTAGCTCAGGGGATCCCTCTCAGGATGTCCACTTAGGGTGCTAGCTCAGGGACCCCTCTCAGGATGTCCACTTAGGGTGCTAGCTCAGGGGACCCCTCTCAGGATGTCCACTTAGGGTGCTAGCTCAGGGGACCCCTCACAGGGTGTCCACTTAGGATACTAGCTCAGGGGATCCCTCTCAGGATGTCCACTCAGGGTGTCTGCTCAGGGTGCCACTCGGCGGTTGGATGGCTCTGCCCACTCCCACTCCTCCTGGGATGTTCTCGTCCACTCTAGGCAGGCCCTGGAGGACAGCTGCTCTCAGCCCAGACGCCAAAGCCTGCGTTCCTCAGAGGACGAGCCGGGAGCAGGCAGTGCTGGAGAGGACCCTCTCCTGTCCCAGGCTCCGGCCACTGTGCCGGGAGGAGGCTCTGGCATTGGAGAGTCACCAGACACTAAGTTGGGGTCCAGAGTAGATAAAATATTCAACATTTAACTCAGCATCTTTACAAAAGGACCAACGGAGGCCTCTGCAGGTGGGTCTGGGTGAGGATGCCCTGTGAGGGGAAGACCTCCGGGGCCCCAGGGCGGCAGAGGGTGTGGGGTAAAAGACAGGGCAGCCAGAGGCGGAAACTCTGCCTGAGAAACTCCAGCTGAGCCACAGATTCGAACAGTAATAATCATGAGTGTATCGTATCTATTTAGCAAGTGATTTCCGCTCCGGTGGAAATCCTTCAGGTGATATAGCTACCAACTGGAAATTATTTCTGCAGAAACAAGGTGTGATCAGGACAGAGACTTGGGCTCAAGACCGCGTGAGCACATGCAGTGGATTTCACGGGGGCGAGTCTGGGGTCTCCGCTGGGCACACGGCGGGCACACACGGGCACACGCAGGCACACGCGGGGCAGAGGGACCAGCTGCAGAGACTGGCTCGAGAGCACAGGTCCTTCCTTCCTTCCCTCCTCTGAGCCTGGTGCACAGCCCCAGGTACAAGAACCCCAGAGAACTTAACCCATTCCTTTAGGGAGACTCGCGACGGCTTCCGTGTCCGTGTGATGAGTCAGTGCAGGTTTCCCCACATGCGTGTCACCTGTGGCTTAACGAGGTGACCCCCTGTTCTTGTCTGCTTTTCTTGGTGTTTGTCATTCTGGCTGTTTTCTGGAAGAGGCCCCTGATTCCT